TGAGAGATAACCGCAAACTCGAGAGCGGTCAATCCATTGACGGATTGACTTTCCATGATCACTTGATCATCTTTTAAAATTCCTACCTTTTCTGGTCCAAAAATTACCGTAAATCCAGCCTTACGCATTTTCGGAACAGAGAGTAGATTGTGGGGTAAATCAGGCGAGTACAGGACATCCTTAAGTTCTCCCTGGAAACCTTTGTTGCTTGTCACCCGCAGCGTACCCCTTTTTGTTGCCGTGATGAAAACACCCTTCTTTGCAACAGTAATTTGTGTTGGGATCTCCAGGTCTTCAAAATCTGTCACCAGGTCTAAACGATTTATGATGTGGTCTGTGGCCCCAGAGTCGAGGAGAAAAACAATTTTTTTCTGTGTTTCCTCAAATGCCACATGTTCAAGAGCCATAAAAGCGAAACTCGATTTGAAGACGTTTGAAGCCGAGGGCTGCTCGACCTGCATTATTTGTGCAGTGTTTTTATTTTGCCTGTTTTTAGTGTATTCTTGTTGTCTTTTGTGATGAATACAATCTTTAATTTGATGCCCTGGCCTTCCACAATGATAACACTTGATTCCAATCGATTTATTTTGTCCTTTGAATTTATTCGGTCTTTTGGGTTTTTGTCGAAAATGCTTTTGATTTTTCTTATCACTTTCATTTCTGACACTTGCATTTTGGGCTTGAGCTTGAAGAATTTTACTACTGGTATCTCGACTTTCATTTGTTAATTTTACTTCTTGATCCAGCAGTCGTGTTTTAACAAATTCCAAGCTCAATGCATCCTCTGATAAAGTCTCTATTGCCGTAACTACACCATCGTATGCATTTGGCATTGTCAATAACAAATGTGCGATCTTGTCCATCTCTTCTAATTTAGCACCGGCTGTGATTAATTCACTAATCAAGTCATCAAAATTCACAAAATGTTTCAACAGGGTTGTCTCGCCCTCCAGTTTCAGTGCAAGTAACTTCTTTCTCAGTGCAAGTTGAGTCGCAAGGCTTTTCCTCAAATATAATTTGTCCAATTTTTCAAAAATGTCTCTTGCCTTGGTTTCATTTGTGACAAAACCCAAAAATGAATCACTTAAATAATTAACAATCACACTTGTGGCAGTACTGTCCAATTTCTTCCACTCTGCAGTTACATAATTAGGAACTGGTTCACTAATCACTTTTATTACACCGAGTTCAGTGAGTAAAGCATAAATCCTGAATCTCCAAACATTATATTTTTCACCATCGAACAACTTAATGTTTCTCCTATCGCTTTTCAACGACGTAGACATTTTAATTCACTTTTTAATAACTCAAAATAAGAAAAACTTGACCATAATAGAAAGAAATTAACTACTATAAAACGCGGAGTATCCTGGGCCCATAACCTATTGGATTATGTGTAGGAATACTCAATAAAAACACATTAGTTTTATTCTTCAAAGTAAAACTCTTTAATGATCGCACGCAGAAGGTATATCTTTCTCCAACGAAGTCTCTAGGACGACTAACTAAAAGTCATGAGAGTTTTCACTCTCTGGACCCATTTGACAAAAGGCCCTTGTTTCAATTTTCTTCAGCCTCTCCTTTGTGACTCACCATGAGGACTGTTTTTCTTCACGTCTCTATTTTCTAAGAAAAGCCATAAATGTCACCCTGAGTGTTTGGGTGGAAAAGAGAAAATGTTTAACTAAACTAAGAAATTAATTTTTGTATTCAGGCATGAATTCCAACAAATATCTATTAAAAATGCAGGGGAAAGTTGCATAATTTTCAATGGAATTGACGCTAAAAAAAATAGAATTTTTCAATAGAATTGCAATAAAACTTAAATAGAATTCTCATAGAGCTCCAATAGAAATTCAATAGAAATTCTTAGAGAAAGTGCCAGGTTTTATATTCGATGACAGAGGGAAAAATCAGTAAATTTCAAATTTTATAGAAAGTTCAGTGGAATTCCATTTTTTTTATAGTAAGAAGACAAGGATTTTCCAAAGTATTCAAATTTTAAATCGATATTTTAAAAATGCATAAATATCATTCTATTCCACCCTCCACTCGAAACGAAACGACTCAATCGGAGCTGAGTTCTAAGCGTTGAGCCACGGCTCAAACTCAAGTGCCGGGTTATGCCGTCTGATGAGCGTTCGACCGCGAGCCGGTATGGAGCGGCGTGTCGCCGCGTGAACTCGGGTCAAGCGGCAAGCCGAGGCTGAGCTCGCGCTCACCCGAGTTGCGGCTGAATCCCCGGTTGAATTTCTACCCGGGCTAAAAACTGACCTTTGAAAGGATGAAAATGGACACCCACACATACGGACACTGTCGTCAAACTTTGTATTTTTACATTTCAAACCTTTCCACATTATTTTCAAGCAAATTACAAAATGCGAAATTCGAACGATTAAAGTGCTTCTGATCTTTTTTTTAATGTCATGAATTACGGAGATGGCTAAACAATTAATGTAATCGAGAGAAATTATGAACACGCGAGCCATTTCCTGCCAAATCTTCCCATTATTCAATTCTTTTATAGGAATAAATTTACTGTTAAGAAAATTTGAGCCAATTTTAACGAAAATGTTGGAAATTTTATTCACACGTATTGTAAGGTATTGAAGTATTGTAAGATTACCACACCGGAAACCGAACTTTATCATTTCGTGTTGTAAATTTACTACATTCACCTGCCATAATTTTACAATACATTATACCGAGATTATCAGAATTTTATAGCGTGAAAAGCTATTGTAATTTTCTTATACCGAAATCCCAATTTTATTACTTTTTTCCCATAATTCTCGTGTAAATTTGGATGGTAAAAGTAGTGCAGTTTCAGCCAAATATTCTCATGAATGTATTGTGATTTTTTTTGTATTAATTTTCAAATGTGAATAATGAAAAAAAAACAATGTTATACTATAATTTTCATTGCAATCAACAGTGTTGTTGTTTTGGTAGTTTTATGGTTTTTGCTTTCGAATAGAAGCACTGTAATCGTTCGATTTTAAGTTTTGAATTTTTTGTGTTATATTGACTCATTATGATCCAAAAAGTCTTAAAATGTTATTTTTAGACCGTGTCCGTACGTCTGTGTGTGTTATGCATGTATGTATGTATGTATGTATGTATGTGTGTGGTAAAGTTTTTCTTCAATTGTTCGCTAATGAATGGATAGAATTGAATCTTTTTTTTTCTTCAAATGTAAGTATTATTGAGCCCTATCGATCGCCATTAATTAAAATTTAATTCATCGATTAGTTTTTTTAACTTTTTCGAAAATCAGTTGTCCCACGATTACTAAAAAAAAATATTCTGAAATGATTGAATGATAATTTAAAAAATTTGCTTGGGCGTCCCTTTGACCGAGTTCGAAGATGAATATGATAGCAATAATCGTTATTTTAATTTATTCGAAAATTTTCAAATTTTTGTATTTTTTGAAAATCCGAATTTCAGGAATACCTTTGAATATCATGATTCAAATGAATTAAATCATAGCTTAAAATGTTTGTTTTAATGCCGTTAAGTCAAAGTTAAAAGATGATTACAATAGCTATATTGGTTGATTTGATTTTATGATGATTATTGAAAAACACTTTATCGAAGTGCTGAGGGGAGAAATAGAACTGTAAAAAGGCAATTGGTTTATAGAAGAAAGAGATAATAAGAATAACGATGATGATAACATTCGACTAAGTTGAAAATCTGACAAAATTAGGTAAAAGAAAATCGTATTCAACTTAATAAAATAAAATAAACAATAAACAAATTATACATGATAGGAGGAAATGATGTGCAAAATAACCATTGGGAAGGATATTGCTAATTTATTAGCAAAAATAACTATACTATATATAATACAAGAGCAATTTTCCACTTGTTTAGTTTTCTTGTCCAAGTTATTTAATGAGTTGTAGATTTAGCAAGGAAATCTATTACTATTGAATGGAATGGGATTGAAGAGCAATCGATGGCCTCTTTTTCTTAGAACCAATATGTATGGCACAATGGAAAGTGAAAATATTAACGTGAATTTTATTACCTATGCAGATATCACGACGACGATTAATGTCACGAAAAAAGTGAAGAGATACTTCTTGTAGTGTGATAGGGCAAGAAGGGGCGAAATCAACAAATGAATTGAAATGAACACCTTGAAATGTCTAAAGTACACGGGTCAAAATGGAATGTTAAAAGACGAAGGGTCAGATGTTCTGAAGACTCAAATAAAAACCACAGGCGGAGTAACCAGAAAGGTCAAATGGCCATTTCCAATTGATTCGTTCAATACTTCTGATTAATCTCTCCGTCTTTCCTTTTTAATAACAATTGTATGACTACACTGAGAGAAATCTCATCATAATATCACGAAACTAATTTTTTGCGCCAAATATCTCATCTCTTGAGGGTAAATTTCTTGGGATAAGAATTCCGGATAATGTGTCAGACAATGTCAGATTTCAGCGAAGTGTTCATGACTTCAACATGAATATTTCACGATAAAGTGAGAATTTCTTGCCACAAGAAATCAGTTTTTTCGTGTAAGAAGATGAGAAAATGACTAAAAATATTAAAAGCTTCGATTTAGTGAATCATGATTCGGAGACTTCCATATGGAATGAATAGAGAGTTTATGCAGAGGAAAACCACCAGATATTAAAAAAATATAACTGTCGCTTACTTCTTTTCCTTCTGTCAAACTATTCTTTTTTTTTTTCTTTTAAGAAATATTATCTCATTCCGAAAAAAGACATCATCTTTTCATTCAGTATCTTCCTCCTTAGCCCGAAGAGCACCGATTCTTGTCTGAAACCTACCATAAATTGATCAAATATATATGCGATGTTTTTTGCTCAAGAAATGATTGTTGCGATATTACGTTGATTTTTCCCCTAGTGTATTTGCCCAAATACTCGCAAAGTCTCTTTAAGTTACACAATGTTCGTAATTCAGTGCCTATATTGCAACAAATAATTCACATTCTATCGATTTTTATCCTTTTTCAGACTCTGGATTTTGACAGGGAGGGCTTGACGAAACTAAAGAAGGCGATTAAGGCCATACACAATTCAGGAAATGGTGAGTGTTACATCCGATATCATATTCATCCAAGATGAATTTAATACATAAATCAATCATAAAATTTTACGAAAGAAATGAACAGGGCTATTTTGTAACTAAAGATCGTCTTCTCAAGCAACTAAATATATGATCCGAGTCTCTATAATTAATGTTTTCAATTACTCATCTCGAAAATGCATAATTCCAAGGGAATAATGTATTTCCCATTGATTTTTTGAGAAGAAAAAGCTTCCAATATTGTCTACTACCACCAAAGATCGCAAAGATAATTCAATATTTAACACGACGACCAGCTTTTACAACTATCTGTGGAATCATATCCACCATCTGCAATAGTGGTAGCATGTAAACTAGTATTGCAGTCTATAAAAAGCTGTAAAACAAAGTGCGACGCACCATAGAGTCAGAAACACCGGCAGCGTCAGACAGAATCGATTTCTCTGGCGCCCGCGTGTACGGCTGATGCCCGGAAGAGCCCGTACCATTTCCTTCTGAAGGACTAGTCTAACGTAACTGACATCAATGCCACTGGCTGTCAAAAGATTCTTTTCAAGCAACGAATTCATTCATTTCTCGCCCTCTAATGAATCTGCCTTTGTTCGAAAAATCTTCTTTTTTTTAAATAAATGGAGCCTGAGTTGGGAGTAATGGAAGTTACATTCATTGAGACTACGTTCTGCTTGCAGATGTTGATTAGATCCTTCAGGATTTAATATGAGACAGGAGTGTGGGTGGTTATGAATGTTTTGTTTTTTCAGCACACGTGGACAATGAAGTCTATCTGGGGAGAGCCCTGGAGAGACTCGGAGATGCTGCACTCAAGGAGCAGGAACCTGATATTGGCGCTGCATTTCTAAAGTTTGCAGTAGTCACAAAGGAACTGAGTGCACTCATGAAAACATTAGTAAGGAAATTACCTTTTTCGTAGATTAATGAGGGTGTCCAACTGTCAGGGAAATCTGGAAAACCGGAAATTGTCAGGAAATTTGACTAGTCTGGAAATGTCAGGGAAAAGTCAGAGAATTACGACAACTTCCTGGAATTTTAACATTTGAAACTTGTTTTCTCCGAGTACCTAAATTTTTGAAAATTCTTCTGTTGAAAAAAAACATTACCCTGGAATTTGATCTCAAATTTACTTAGAAAAGTGGGATGTCAACATCTTTCCATGGGATGAGAGTGGGAACCCACGGTTTTTGCGGTTTTCTATGGAAAATTCTAAATTCAGCATTCTCCTTTTCAAAGAAATTCTTGCATATCAAGATGGTGGAAAAATTTTATAAATACTCATTTCCAGCAATATACAAATTGTAAAAATACCGAGAGTTACAACCTGGTCCGCTAGAATGATGTAAGCACCCTAATTTTCTAGACAAATTTTTCGCTGTACGTATTTTTGTTGAAAAGTTGACAGAGTGATCACCTCTTAAGGGGAGACCTCGCTAAAATTGAGAAGTCTTTGAAAATTCCCATACCTCCTTTATTGCGCAATTTCCAATCTGATGTAGATTTTTGTATTCCGCAATTTTTGTTAGACTCTGGAAAATGAAATGAAGTACCCATTTTACGTCATAAATTATGGATAATCGCCCATGAAAAAAATTTTTCTTTCTTTCAACCCACTCTTTTTTGTTTATTCTTGCATAATGTCTAAAAAATCGAGTGAAGCTGACAGACAAAAATCTAATAGATTCATTTTTTCTCAATCCATTCAATGCAATGGAAAACGAATACTCAATCAGGGGCATTCGTCTCCATTGAATTTCCTGAAGGCAGTTAAAGCTTTCATTTCGTTATTCAGGTGGCGCTACCAGCGCTCCGCGCATGAGCATTTGAATGACATTTCCGAGGGCCCACGTGTTTCAATTCGAGCTAAACCATCATAATCAAAACGAGAAATAGAAATTGAAGGGAAGAATAGATCATTGAAGTAGTGTAGAATATTGAGCGTGATGTTGACTTCTAATAATTCAAGCTGGTAAAGCGAATCAAGTTAATGTAGTAGTTATTATTTAAGTTTATATGTTATTTAACGGTCAATGTATTATTTATAATTCAAAGTACAATTGGCTGATTTAATCATCAAACAGCATACATATTTACATAAAATAATAAATTAATGAATAATTATGCAAATAAATCATTTTCTGTTAGTTTTCTTCAATGTTTTTTGATATTTTTTCCTTGCTTCATCCAAAGCAGGCTCGCGCATATGTGATGACTTCCCAACTAGATGTCTGTTGATCTCTGCGAACCATTTGGGAATGAAATCAGAGATAATCAATTTTACGGCTTGCGAGTGGAGTTCCTCTTGATGTTGCTCACATACAACCCAATTGCTGGGAACAGCAGACTTGACTCGCTTGTGTAGAACCGCGTTAGTCTATAAATTTAACATTCTTTCAGAAAAAAGAAACGTTTTCTAGGGTCAGAGAATTTCATCAATTTGACCGGGAAAAGTCAGAAAATTTTGTTGAAACTTCCAGGTGGACACCCTGTTAATTCACAAAAATTGACTGTGTCACCTACCAGTCCTCCAGAACTTGCTATACGTGTAACAAATTGAGAAATGTAAGATATTAATTAATGATAAAAAAAACTTGTTGAGGCGACTTGAGATACCATTTGAAAAAATCACATATACGAATTTTTTCCATAACAATTCGTTGTGAAACTTGTTTGAAATGAGAAACATTCAACAATAAATCTATTCAATCTTAAATTTGATTTGAACATTTTCTTCAATTCAACCAATTACAGTGATAAATCAACCGAAAGAATTGTCACCACATGCTTTTTTCTTCAGTGTACTCTGTTATCAAAATCCTTGACATTGAACAATCGCTGATTTCCATGTCAGCATTTAACTTCCGTTGACTCTAATAATTTTTTCTCACTATACAACACACGGCTACTAATGTCGTACTGATGCTCATTGATATTGCTCGTTAGTCGCCCGACGCGAATAAATTCTATTGACATCGCCTTATTAATCCCTCTCCCATTACGTAATATCCTCAAATCTCATATGCGCATTGTTGCTTCCATTGTCTCTAAAAAAAACGACGTGTTCTTTTCCTTTTCTATCCCTTTCTGTCCACGACATCCTGAAATTCCATTTCAAAATAAGTGACAGTGGACGGTTGAAGTTGATGTTGCAAGGCTTCGATCCACTTCCACTGATATTCAATAGTCAATTTCTACTTTCGACTCACGGGAAAGACCCCACTGCAAATAAAACGTCGAGACTTTATCGTACGGCTTTTATGCTCCGATCGCACATATATGGCGACAGCAGTTTTTTGAGGGGGAATCATGCTTGAGAGCATCCCCAGAGGGGAAGAAGGACCATTCAAAACCACGTCCCATAAGCTAAATAGAACAGAGAGTTATGAGTCAGCATCAATTCTCACTGAGTAATGGAAAAAAAAGACAAAAAAATGTTAAAAAAGAAGAAGAGACGAATAAAATTATGAAGTGAAATGTCCTTTATCCCTTAGTATAATTTGAAAGAAATTTGGAATTGATATTTCGCCAATTTTTTTTACGTTTCAGTCTTCTTTTTTGTTAATGCATCCAGTATTTGTGCGGCATCAAATTAGTATATTACGATACGAGTGAGACGCAATTTTCACGAGTGTTACCATTCACACGAGCTGAAAATTCCCGTCTCACATATCGTCGATCAATATTTTTTGACAGCGATGTTACGCTCAGCGAGTGGCCGAACTGTGCCTT